TATACATGTATGAATTGAATTAAATTTTATCTAATTTATGCTCTCAGCTTACACACACACACACACACACACACACACACACACACACACAAGTATTGCATGCGTATAGAGAATGTAGTTTGCATAATTTCTATGAAGACACGTGTTACAGGTACATCCATTTTTAGGGGATATTTTTAAAAAATTCAGATGCGATAAAAACATTCGTCTTAAAATTTATATATTATTTATGCGCAATGGACTTTTAATCATTATACGAACTCTATGTACATTTGACGCGATAAAAGGTAGATTGCATTACGTGCTTTAATGTTTTGCGTGCGCGTCCACGAGGCTAATCACGCATTTTCACGAAATACGTTCCGCCCTAAAGCGAGATAGCGCGCGGCTGTAACTTCCATTTGCATCCCGCACGAAATCCACTCGTGTTCCCCAACGAAGGACCGCGTGGATACGTTAATTAAATGGACCCGTGCGGCGCGGATGCAAATTATGGAGAAAACTTCGGCATCGCGCCAAGTTCGCCGTACAATGATTATCCGCGACGGGGATGTTTATGCCCTTGACATGCGCGGCGCGCGCGCGAAACTGAGAATAAACGCGCTCATAGGGGGTTTTCTCCGGGTTCACGCGCTCTCGCACCACCACCTTCCTTCCTTCGCTCATTTTTTCCCCCTCGCGACGACGCCCCCGGTCTCTTCCACCCTCTGTAGTCGGTGATTAACACACGAAGCGGATGGTGCCCTTACCGGCGATTGCCCGCGCGGGGAAAAACGAGCGCGCGAGCGAGCGAGCGTGCAGCGGCGCGTGGACGACCCCGCGTGGAACAAAAAGGAAGAAAGGAAAAAAGAAAGAGAAGAAATTGCACTTGCGCCCCCGTGTAGCGCCGAATTACACGGCCTCTCGGAAACTCGTCGCGTCGAATATAAAGCGCGGCTCTCGGCGGACATTAGCTCGGAACGGCACGACGTCACGCTACATACGCACGAGAATTCTTATCCCGTTTACCTGCCGAACGATATCGCGGAAGAGACTTCTTTTTTTTTTCTTATACTCGGAAGCAATAACGCGGGGTGTCTTTTGCGTCTGATCGTTTGTACAATGCTACTCATTAATGCCTGGACCTGCATTTTTATCATTTTTCCCATCTACATAAATCGCTGAGTTTCAGGTATGTATGTATGTACAGTCGTGGACAGAATGGTTGCGACATTTTATTTAGTGAGTTTAGAAACGCGCATTTAGACTCAGGTTTACGTTACAAAATATTTTCGCTAAGAAAACTTTTACTTGAGAAATAGATTGAAAACGCTCAATATGGTTTCGGAATCGAGTAAAACGTTCCTCAGAGAGGAAGATTTTGGAACGTAACGTAAAAAAAGTATCGCAACCATTCTGTCCGTCACTGCTATAGAAATCTGTGTACGCCACAGCCTGAAACTTATCGAAGTATAGATGGAAATAAGGATTACGAAAATGTGAATCCTAGTAAAAGTGAGGTCCAGGCATTAATGAATAGCTGTACAGTGATGGACAGAATGGTTGTGACATTTAGGAACGTTTAGGAACGTGCATATAGAGTCAGGGTTACGTTCCAAAATCTTCATCCCCGAGGAATATTTTACTCGATGGCCGTTGCGAAATCATTTTGAGCGTATCCGATCTACTTTTCAAGTAAAATTTGCCTCAGAGAAAATGTTTTGGAACCTGAATCTAAATGCGCGTTCCTAAATTTATTTAAAAAAAAGTGTTGCAACTATTCTGTCCATCACTGTACGAGGGAGTTTCAAGTTGAAATCCTGGCGTAACGCTACGGTGAAAACGTTTAAAATTACATAACGCGGTCGATTTTTGTTTTCCCCTTCGCCCGACGACTCTCGCTTCGACTCGCTTACATTATTCCGCCGGTGTGTATTCGCGAGTGATTTTCTCAACATCTCTTCATTCATTCACCGTTACTCGCCGCGTTGAACGCGATCTCGCCTCGCTACCGTGTTATCGATATTAAATTCGCCGGACCTGCGTTCGTTCAACGTCACACCGCGCTTCATTACGGCGGATCGTCGGACCGTGACCGGCTGATCGATGATGCGGTCGGTGATGCAATTGAAAATACGATCGCCGGATCCTCGGCCTACGCGCGTAAACGCGGCGCAAAGAAAAGAGGTTTAAATGACGATTTACGCATCGTGTAATGCGAAACCCTTACGGCAAACTGCCCCCGATCAATACCTTCTTGGCGTTTGTCCGATTCCGTTCCGAGTTGATATTGACCGAGTACCTCCATCGGATTTCGGTTTTGCGTCGCCGCGTAAATTCAATAAACGCCTGTAAATATTTGCAACAACTCCCTCGAGCTTAATGAAAAACCGCCGGCCACAATGTATTTTATTATCCGTTACATTACAGGCGGTGTATCGCGCGGTAAAAGCTCCTGAAAATAACCATCTGTCTCGTTGCCCAAAGCCCGAAGAAAAAGAACGCGAGCGGAGCTCTGCAGGCGCAATAAAGAGGATAAAAAGGGGGAGGAAAGGGCGAAAAAATGACGAAATGAACAAGAACGAGCGAGACGGTGGCGCGAGGACGAGGGGGACGAACAAGCGGAGCGGCCGAAGAGGCGGAAAGTCAATATTGCGCGCGATGGGATACGTCGGAATTATTGCTGTATATTAAAATTTATCGGATATCGGAGGTGCGTCTGGGCGGACTTAGCTCGTCGCGTGCGTGCACGCGAACGTCGTTTATGGGTTTCCGATATCCTACAGGACGAAAATCGGCGGACGGTCGGCGAACGATAGCGCGAGGGATTTTTCGCTCGGGCGCTCTCTCGAGCTCGATCCGTCGCGCGAAGGTCACGTGCGTTTGACGACCGGCAAATTCGATGGAGTCGCGAGGCGAAAGGAGAATCGGGGATTAACCTCGAGTAACGTTTCTCGCGCGCGTTTGGCTCTCACGGAAAAAAAAAACGGGTGCTCGAGTGCGATTTTTACACTGGTTGTATTTCGCGTCCACGATTTATACAGTGATATTTCTCATGGAAAACTGAGTCGAAAAGTCGCGAACCAGTTTTTCGAATTATGCTATATAAAGTAGTTATTATTAATTGAAAACTGGCCAATCAGCGTCACTTTTTAAACGGACGCACGTTCGTGATTCGCGCATTTATACCAGGGTGTGTGAAGTGAGCCTCGCGTGCCTCAGCGGCGACGTGCGTCCGTTTAAAAAGCGATGCTGATTGACTAATCTTTATTTAATAATAATTTAAGGGCCTGCGCGCACACTTTCTGTAAAACGTAACAGTAAGGTTTCGACCAATCTCGTGGCTTGATTTTTTTACGGCGTTGCCGCCTGTAAGCGAATCGAGCCACGCGATTGGTCGAAACCTTACTGTTACGTTTTACGGAAAGTGTGTGTGCGTGTGAATACTTTATGAAGTATGATTTGAAACAATGGTTCAGGACTTTTTGACTCAGTTTCTCATGAGGAATATCACTGTATAAGTCGTGGGCGCGAATTAGAATACACCCTGTACGCCTGAAAAATCGCGCAATAGTTTGTTTTTTTTTCTTTAATTGAGAAATCACGCCGGTGGGTCTAGCCAGCGAAATTTTGTTCCGGTTGTATAGCGGAACGTGAGTATCTTTGTAGAAGCAACGTGATAAATATACGTGAAATGTAGGTGCAACAGGAAGTGTACGTGACGTTTGCGTTGACTACGCTTGGGACGTGCCTTGGAGAGGCACATAATGCGGGGAACGTCACTCAAACTGTCAATATTGAGGAGAATTCTGAGAATATTATTAGCGAGATATATGCAATACGTTATATTTGGAAAAGGCATTTGATAAACTCATTTTATTCTGAGCATTTATGGGCGAGTTCGTCCATTTTATTCCGTGATTATTTTTATTAATTACTCTTACTTGTAAGAACTTTATATCTAGAGGAAAGTCCTCTACTATGAGATAGGATCCTAATATGGGATAGCGACGTTTCTGTTAAATTAATAGACATCGGTTAATTCCACCATGAATTTATTGCCCTTGGTGCGAAATTTGTTTAGTGAAAAATTCATTGTTAGATTGTGTAATCGTCGCGAGAAAAGATTAGTGATTGAACTTGGGTGTTGAAAACCTGCTATCTCATATTAGAAGCCTATCTCGTAATAGAGGACTTTCCTCCGTATATTTGTATGTAGAAAGAAGACAGTTTTGGAATAAAGTTTCATCGAAATTCCCCACTCAGCGTATGTAAAACACTGCAATATTTCTTACGTTAAAATAGATAAAATTAAAAAAAATATATCGAAAGATAATATGGCTTTGAATGAAGAGATAATCTTCAATTAAATTAAAACAGTATCTTACCTAAATTCTTTGCACATATTTTTCAACGATTTGCGGAAACTCACAACGATAACGTATGCCGTATTAGTGTCGCGCGGGGGTGAAATTTCAACTGATCTGTAAAATTTGCACAACACCGGAGTACGAAATCGACACGAATCCGACGTGAACGGGACGAGCGCGCGACGACGACTGGACTCCGGCTCGGCCGGATTGTCGCTGACACCAGACGAGTACCGGAGCGAGTACGCGAGCGGAGCTGCACGAAGTCGGCGAGTACCGAAGGTGGCCGAAGTTTCGTTTGAAAAGCAGATTGTCGCGAGCGATGCCCGCGAGTCCCTCGTTTTGCGAGCCTCGCCGTGTCCAAACAGGCGCTGTGCAACAAGCGGAGGTCTCTCCGCTTTTAATTACACACCGATAAACTTATGCAGTCGTGCGCCCGATAAAAAATTTTTCCCACCCGAATATGCAAAAATATATACAACTATCACGAGTAATAATCGTTTCTTCGCTAGTACATTAATAGACAATTGATTATTCGACACAATTCCCAGATAACAATGCATGTCTAACAGACGTCATAAAGGTAGGGGATCCCTCAGCCATCTTTTTTACTGGCACAGTAAAATATGATTTTTGTGCTTTTAAATCTTTTTGTGGGCTTTTATACACAAAATAATACCAGGATCAGTTACGAATCGTATAGCAGGACATTTTTATATTTAAAACATTCAGTTCAGAAGTCTAATAAAAAGCAAATTAATAAAATTCGTATGGCTCAAATGTGATAAACACAAATTTGAAGGAATAAAGGACTAAGAGCCGTGACGGTGATATTTTTTCGCAATAAATTTAGAATAAAATATTTAGACACTAACACCCTGTCACGGCTCTTAATCCTTTATTTCTTCAAATTTGTCTAATAAAAAAGATGTTGGTATTTGAAATTTTCAGTTCGTAGTTCGTATTAAATTTGAAATTGGCTTTATAAAATTGCAAAATTTTTTGCATTTTTTTTAACACTTTTTAGACGCACGTGTCTAAAAGACAACTTAATGCCGTCTTAAAGACGTTTTAGACATGCATGCTATATCTGGGTTGGCTCTAATTTAATTAGAAGAGGATTGTGAAAAATATTGCTCTCTGCCAGGATATATAATTATACATAAAATATGTCTTCAATAATGTTGGTCATCCAAAGTGGAGACAATCGTAGTGAACGGTACGATTTCTTAGTATGGTTTACGAGTGTATCTCTTTGAAAGAACCTTGAAAAGATTCTATGGATTTAACGAAAGTTCACGTTGTATCAGATGATAATGAAATTAATTTGTTTCTTTCGAAATTATTATCTAAATATTATTAATGCATTATATTATGTATTACATATTACGTAATATATTAATATTTTTTTAACAAACTTATATAGTATTTCTATCAGAAATTATATCTCTGCAGTGATTATATTATAATTGAAATGTATAACACGTACAGAGCGTATTGTGTTACTTTACAAACGGTAGCATTTCTCTTCGATTATTTCGAAATGTTCGCATTATACACGAAATGCTGAGCTACATTAAATTAAATTGATGCCGTTGTTGTGATTCCTGTTGTATCAGCGAGCTATATTTGAAAATTAAATAGCGTTGACCGTGTAACTTGATACAAAATGGTCCTGAGAATATAATGATTATTATAAAACACATTTCAGTTTATAATCTAATTTAAAAGAGATATTTTACGATTTGCGATGTACAAAGATGTACTTTTGATATTGTTTATTTTGTGTATTTTAATACAGACGAGTCTTCGAATAATTTTACACAATTTTTAACACTGTATAATTTTTTAAATAAGGCTTTTGAGATTACATGTTCATATAAATTTCCTTTTCATACAACAACATCAAAAGTCAACGTCCAAAATGTTGGACAATTCTTAAGAAACACCGTGTACAGTTCATTCTGCATGTCTTCCGCTAATGAAATAGCTTTTTAAATACCATCATGATTAATAAACAAAATAATAACAAAAACTAAAGACACGTAATACGAACTGTCCCAAAATCGTATTTATTGGTTTATTAAAATTTTCAAGTAATTTTTATCTTATATATTAGATAGTATATTCCAACGATTTATTGCCAGAATGTTCAAGAAGCACAAAATAAAATCCCGCAAAAAAATGTCCAGAAACCATTCTAGTAAAATGTCTGTAGAGTCCAATAACCTATCCTTATTGACTTCAAACGTCAATAGCAGCGCGTAAGTAATATTAACGAGCAGATGAAATTGTAAGAATAAAATTGTGTCCTCGATTTCGCATGTCTAAAAAATAAGCTTATTCTATTAACTGTAATAGATAAATGTCTGTCGGAATCAAACGCGAGTTTCAGGAAAGAAATGAACAAAAAGATATTAAAATATTCCTAAGTGCAGAATAGTATTTTTCCGATAGTAATTTAATCTTATGAAACAGTCTAGAGTTTACATAACGAAAAAATTACTATTTATAATATTATGTAATTTAATCATTTTTTAATTTCGGAAGCTCCATCAAGAAGTCAAAATGCACGTTCTCATCAATTTCATCAGCGACACCAAACAAAAATTATACGTCATCTACGCTAAAACAGCCACAATTAATCACAAAAGCACCTAAAGACGCGGCAGTACATTTTGGAAATTTTTATGGTCTTTGGGATGATATAGGGAAAGCACATTGCAATAATCACTGGAATAACCATCTTATAAGAGACGGAACAGCGAATAATAGACCACACCGTTTAGAGTTCACTAGGCAGATGGTGCACAAGTAAAACAATTTTTTCGCTATAAAAGTGACAAACAAAAATATTTATAATTATTCCAAAAGAACTTTTGAACAAGAGGCTTTTCTTTGCCAGATTGGAGAGGGTAACTGATACGGAAGATTACATGCGACAAGTGTCGGTTCTTCTAAAGAAGACGGTAGAGCCACCCGACTTTAGATTGAATCAACTTCCATCTAGAAATTCAATTCCTAACGGAAGTCGAAGCGCCTCGGATTATCCACTCTGGTACAAGGAGCCTCATAAGATATCGTTAGTATACTCAAATCCTATCGCTCAACCTTAAAGCATGAGATTTAGTTACCGAAAAGTAACAAGTGTATCGGCAAGAATAAAAGCTTTAAAATACGCTCAAATGTCCGGCTTAATAAATTTTAATTTTAATATTTGCGATATATTTTTCTCATCAGTTAAATGTTATATTTTTCCTTTTCTTGTTTTTTTATTTCCCTTCCACCAATTTAAAGTATATTTTTGCGCACTTCGATAAATTATTCTCGTAACTAAAAAAGCAAAGCACGGCCCGATCATCTCTCGATATAAAGTTCTTTTATTCTGCTTACATGTATAGATTTACTCCTGAGGAATTTGTTATACTCAAGTCAATACAGCAGAAAAATTTATGATAATGTAATTAAAGAAATACGCGCAAAATAGATCTAGGTTTTATAGAATTGCTTGGAATCTCTGCATCAATATATTCGAGAATTGCGTAAATCATATACCAGTGCCTGACTATACTTTCGATCCTATTAAAAAAATGTAAAATACATTACTTCGTATTTTACATACATACATGTATATTCTTCATAGATTATTTCAAAACTTTTTCAAGACGATTTAATTATATTTTGGGCCTTGTCAAGACTATTAATAAAGATTAATTGGACAATACATTTCTTATAATCGCCATTTGTTATAACAATAAAACCATAGCAATAATCAATTTTTTCTAAAAAAAAACATAGTAATTAATGTCATAACGGCACATAGATTGAGTATTGTTAAAGTTGCAAACCGCGAGACAGAATTCATTTCGGTATTCATTCTGGCGCGCTAATTAAGAACGTGGTCATTAGTTTGCATGGCGTTATGCCGTAATTAAGCGTTGCCGGACTATTACGAATCTCGTTCCTGGAATAATTAATTAGATCTAGAAGAATCATAAAGGGGGGTATACACATGAAAACATAGTTAATCTAGGGTTTAAGTGACGAACGACCGGAAATTCTCAACGCTATCACGGTTGTATTTGATTTTCCGGTTCTACGATTATTTCTACACAGAATCTGTGACGTATTATTTGTAACAGGGAATAAGGAACATCCGCGTGACTTGAGATTAATATATATACATATATATATTTGTAGTATAAAAATATAAAAGGGATAAATTAATATAATTCGAGGATAATCTCACGCAGCTTGTTTCCGAAAAACGAAGGCTGCTGTTATCAAAAGACCGGCACGCGTATTGTTTTCGCTTCAATGAAAACCCAGGGGAGAATGCACGTTAGGGTGGTATTTATCGATTATTCCGTCCACCGGCGTAAAGACGAATTCCATGTATCTTTAACGAAAGCGAACATCCAACCGCCGAAGGGGATGCCAGAATCGCGCGAACGGATATGTTTGTTTTAATAAAAGCGAATCCTGTTTAACTGTAAATCGTGATCGTGTAAAGTATGGCGATTCGAAGCAGTGAAACGGTTTTAATATTCACTTTTGATATTTAATTGTGTTGTCGTTAATTATCTTAATCGTTTATACACATAAATATACTCGCACAAGGAATCAACATGCAAATGCGAACGCGATGCTCCACATTTGAATATTTAAAAAATGTCATTTTTATATATTATATTATTTATCTTATCCTCTATTTTATGCTACTTGTGCATGGAATCTCGGGAAGTAAGTTAAATACGACTACAAATTGTGCAATATATATTGATTTAAAAAAGGTTAAAAGAATCTAGAGATATATAACGGTTATAAAAATTAATAAAAATATACATATGTAGAATCAATTATCGTACTTACATCTCTCTTTTTTTTTAAACAAGTACATATTTATATATATTTTTATATACATATAGATTTATTCTTTTTCTGCAAACTATACAGCATGGTCCACGTGATTGAGAATCCTTTAAATAAATTAATGACTATTAAGACCATTGAATGATGGAACGTGTATGAATATGTGTGAATATAACATATATATACCCTTTATAAATATACACGAAACTTCTATAGATATCATTTTGCATGAAAATATAAAATGTGAAATGGTAATTGCAATTCGGTTTACAGTTTCATCTGCATATACACTTGTCAGCTATTGTATTTAGTTCGGTTTGAATTTAAGCGACGATCGTACGTCCTGTAAACCATGTGCCCACACGTGATGATTCCACGGTTGACGTAAAAGGCTAAGTTCCTGATAAATTTTTAAAGAGTTCAACTTAAATGTGATATGAATTTCATATTCCCAAGTTATTGACCTAAAAAACTGAGACACTCAAAGGTGGATTTAATACATATTTGAGATCAGAGTGAATAATGCTAATCTAAGGTTATTTAATTATTTATAATACAAGATGCTGTAAATATTAAAAAAAGGAATTATTAACAAATTCCTTACCACTCACTGAGTTTCATTCGTTTATTATTGGTATTAATAATGTGAGTTACTGTTTTAATGGCCCCTCGGTATTTCAATTTATAAACAGAGCAATATAGGCAATACACCAAATATTGCAAAATTATCGTTGCATTTTCTTTTAGGCACAAGTTCTAAAATTTCAAATTGACTATTGTGAAAAATATGATCTCGTTCAATGCACAATAAATAATATATACATGTAACGTAATAAAGAAATTAAATAATATATTGTACGCATTTTTCGAATGGCGTAACATACCTAGACGTACAATGTCGCTTAAATTGAATTCAGAAGTTTCAGTTGCCCCGTTCTTATTAACCAAATCGTTATTAGCAACCAGTTTTAAAGATTGCACCATTGTCGATGATTATGAATACTTCCATAATGTCCAATCAAATTAAAAGCGTGGAAATACAGTACAATATAATAACGATATGCATTTCCTACACCAGTATATTCTACTGTACGCCACGCAATATGAATGACAATTCATTCTTCTCCTTGGGGAGCATGGCACAATTAGCTCCCGTCAAACGGATTCTTTTGAGGCCTTCCCTAGGTTTTCTTCCACGAGTAATACATTTCCAAGGGTCGATTGACGCGCCAGAACTTGTCGTTCACTTGTCGTAACGTTTGTGAGCCGCTTAGTACCACTAGCTGCCCGGGTGAAGGCGCAATGTAGATACAGAAATTTAATAGCCTATCTGATTCCGATAATTCGGTATCCAAATCTAACGTTAAGCGCATTGCCAAATATTTGCTCAAGTGGTCCACTGCAAGAACAAATATAATTCGTTACTGGCGAAAGCTTGCTTCTTTAATACAACTTAACGTGCATTTATATTTATTATATTTATAGCCTTTTTGAAATATACGACTTTTTCTCTCTTTATTAAAATGTTAATATGTTTGCGAAATAACTCACCGGTGGCGTTCGCCGTAGTTTTTATATAGCGAATACTATTCTCCTTCAACGCTTTTATCAAGGAATTGTCACCTGCCATTTCTGTAGGATGTGGTTTAAAGACAAGTTCAATTTCGTTGAGCATCAAAGGTTCGCTGGGACCTTCCCCCTCTGTGTCAACCATTGAATCGCCGCCGCCGGTCTCAGCCTCCGCGCTGGAGGAATCATTCTCCGAATTTTGAAGGCTTTTCTGCCGTTTCGACGGCTTTGGGATTTGATTCGCGGGATTTGGCGACGGTGTGGTAGAGTTTCTAGATGTTGTCCCTAGATGAACGCACGTAAAATTAATTTATGTAATAAAAAACCACAGGCTGTTATAATCAACGGAAATCGCTGCTTGTAGATTAACGAACAACGCTGGTACTTTGAGAATTAGTCGTACCTCCACTGTTCAAAGTCGCGCTCTGAGAGGAGTCACTTTGATTTGCCACATTTGATGGATTTGGTGTTGTAGGTGCGCTAATATTTGGTGTATTGTTATAAGACGTTGCGTTGCTCGCATTCTCAGATTCGTTTGCGTTTTTCCTGGAACGTTGCGGACGATTCTGACTCTGTAGCTTGATGCCCTCCGTGATGGAGTTAACAAGCGCGGCCTGCGAGTGCGACTTGTTCAGTTTGGCCAAAACTCGCTCCTGATGAGCCTCGTATTCGTCTCTGCTTGGATAGATTTTTGATATTAGCAGATCAAAGTTCGGATCCGGCCTGAGAGACCTTTTGGAAACCAATTTCTTCCTGCACGTAGGACATTCCTACAAACGATATTGCAAATGTAAAACCTGTCCATTACGTACAATAGTACATAAGCAGATTCCTCGTATCTTGATAGAACGGTTTTAACTATTTGTACAAAAGTAGCACTATTCATTTCTATCAAAGACATTTCTATCGTGACAACTGCGTTACGTCACGACCATAAAATTCCTGCGACAAGTAAAAGGAGCTTTGAGAGTACGGCACAACTGAGAACATATGAGTTAACTTTACATCATTCTTTAATACCTAATAGGACACGTTATAATCAGACCTGTCAAGGTGATACTGTCGCGGAAAAAGGAAACCGACATCGTGTCCACGGCGCGTCCAAGTGTGTAGCAACGTACTTTGTTACCGCTCCGTAAAGCCGTGATGATACAATCGGAGCAGAAGCGGTGGAGGCACTCCTTGGTGGTCATGGTCTTCTTCAGCATGTCCAGGCAGATGGGGCACATGAGCTCGCTGTGCAAGCTCCGCGGGCTGACCGCGATCTCCGTGTTGTCGGTGATCGCGTCCTGCGGGGTGCGGTGCAGCTCGTAGAGCGACAATTCCCATGTTTTGTTGAGGCCGACCTGTTCCGCGGACGCCATCTTGGATTACTCTCGACGCGCACGACCCATGCACGACGTACGCGTAGCTGATGGAGGAAAGCCCCGCGGAGTATCCCGCGGTATAACCGGAGAGCTGCTTCTGAGAAGCCTCCGTTACCAGAGAGCAGTTTCTCTCTCTTTCCCTCTTCTTTTTTTTCTGCGTCTTGTCAAACGGTCGTACTTGTAAGTCGCGCGACGCGACAACTCCGTGACACAGAACTGACTGATACTAAACTCTAACCTAACGGGGAGAAATGCGAGGAGCGCGTTTTACCCGTTTTACCGCTGCGCCGCGCGCTTGCGCATGCGTGCGCGCCCGCCACGTGACTAACTCCAGAGAGAAACCTGAGAGCGGCCACGCCGGCGTTTTACTTGATTTTCGTTCGGCTGATTCCAGCGCCATACGCCCATTTTCATTTTTGGAACTATTCCGCTACACATATTTTCACGCACAGCCGATAAAATAATCTCCATTTGGTGCGTGTCCATGCTACGCCCATTTTTCAAGCGGGTAATGCAGTGCCCAACTTTGATTGTGTTCCGTACGTGCTGCATACAAGAAATGTCGATAACACGAGAGTGTTATTAATTTTTCGTAACGGGAGTGAGCGAAAATCCCGATCTTCGAGCCTTCTTCGCTGTTATTCTCATCTCACTCACTCCTATTACTTACTGTCTCGTTCGCTCTTATAACGATTGTGTTTTAAGATATACCAACGCATGCCTAGAAGATTATCTATCAAATTATCACGTTAAATATTTTTAATATACATACAGCAAGTATATCAGGAGCAATTGTATTAAAACCAATTATATAATTTATAAAACTTATTTTCGATTAATTGTGTTATTTAGTAGGACTGGTAATTTCCTTCAAAGGTTTCGACATTCGAACTTCGAAATTACTTCGAAGCTTCGAAAAATTTATTCGTGTGAGTGGCGACTTTATTCAAAGAATACTAAAAATATTGCAAATAAAAAGTATTAACAACGAAAGAATGTGAATCGCCAGTAATTGATTAACGATAAAAAGAATTGTTAGACGATTTTAGGCTGGCAGATGATTTCTTTATTTAAATCCGACGTCTTTCGTTGTTAATTCCACACCGAAACTCGAAAATGGTGTTTCCTACGGAGATCAGTTTTTGTAGATTGTTGAATTCCTTGAGAAGGACCACACCCGTATGGTCGAAACGTCGGATTTAAATAAAGAAACCATCTGCCAGCCTAAAGATATCTAACAATTCTTTTTAGTGTTAATCAACCACTGGCGATTCACATTCTTTCGTTGTTAATACATTTTATTTGCAATATTTTTAGTATTCTTTGAATAAAGTCGCCACTTACACGAATAAATTTTTCGAATTTATAACTTTTTCAATGTTTAGCTTATAATATTGTAACACAAAATTTTCAATAATTGAAACACCATTGCAACAGCAGATTCTTGAGACTGAATCAAGTAAAAAAAATCCCGTATTACTTTTCCCTCCGACAAACAGTTATCGAGATATTATAAACTAAACATTGAAAAACTAAATTTTCTCTTGAATATCTCAAAAAGTATTAGGCAAATCAAAAAATGTTTCAGACAAAAGTTGTTCATATTAATTAGTAGAATAAGATAGTATAATAAACAATAGGGAGTTCCATTTAAAAAAATGACAGCAACCTCCATATAACCATAAAAATTTTTTGTTTAAATTAATTTTACCATTATATAGTTCTTTCAAAACCGTACAACTTTTGTCTGAAACATTTTTCCGTATCTCCCATATTTGTCGAGATATTTCACCGGACCGGTACTTTTTACTCACCCTGTATATATAATTGCAAAATATAAAACTTTGCTGACAAGCTACATTGTACTCTTTTTGCAAACAAAATTTGTAGTAGATTGTTCTCGATAAGCGTGGTTTTCTATTTTATTATAACTTTGCATTTTCTGGTTATAAATGAAATAATGCCTCTCTCTTTTAGATTTGAATTTATCCGATAAAAACAGACCAACTTGTAGAGGTCCTCCACCACCCCCGCCGAATTCTTATCGGCGGTCCTCTTTTGTTTGCGATAAAATTGTGTTTTTACAACTTAATTATATAGCTTAATTAATTGTATTCACAACTTATTTTGAATTTTGAAACCTATTTGAAATATATACAAAAATATAGAAAGAGAGATAAAGTTACGTAGTGAAACTAAAAACATGATGTACAATAAAATTATGTACAATTTTTAATTATGACATAAAATTACATATGAACATGTTACATGTGTTTACAATAATACGCACCTAACTGTTACAATGTAAAACATTAATAGAAAATGTTACACAGTACACACAACGTATTACATATGTGGCTGTGCATATAATTGTACATTTTTTATTAATGTGCAAACGAAAAATCAAACTGTAAAGACAAATTTATCGATCAATTGCAAACAAAACTATCGATTAAAAAACTATGTGAATCAAATTGAACTAAAATTTTATTCGATAAAAACAAATCAATCTACATAGAGGCCCTCCACCACCCCCGCCGCGTTTAATCGACGGTCCTCTTTTCTTTACAATTTGATTTTTTACATTTTTATTATTTATTCTATACTTATTTTACAATACGCATACAATATTATAAAAGAAAGAACAACCATATAAATTTAAAATTAAAATATCTGTAAATACACTGAGAAAAATTTTCATCGGATAAACCAATTAAATAGTGTTTCCGATGGTTAATTTTTCCGATTACGTTTTCCGATTAAATTATGGATACATCCGATGAAATTTATCCGATGAAATGCAGTTACCGATGAACTTTGATTGAAAAACCGATCACATTTCTCATCGAATATACAATTTAATCGGATATATCCGTTTGTTATTATCCCAGATAACATGTTTGTCTAAAAGACATCTTCAAGACTTCTTCAAGTTGTCTTTAAGATATCTTTTAGACGTGTATGTCTAAAAGATGTCTAAAAGACGTGTTAAAGACGTCTTAAAGATGTCTTTTAGACATGCATGTTATGTGGGATGAAATTGGATTATCCGATTATATTTAATCAGACATTTTTCTCAGTGTACCTACAATATTTCTTTCGACGTTATATATGAAATATTCGGTATACGTAGAATAACACGAAATTTTTTTTACGTACTTATTATATTAAAGTTATTGTTACTTCATTAATTTATATTACCTAATTTTTTACACTATCGCATTATGTCCCCCTATCCCTGACTATCCAAATCCCTACCTATCCGTATTCCGATTTATAGACCTACCTACCCGTATTCCGATTTATAGATCTACCTACCCGCGTTTCAACATAATGAACCTACACATCTTTAATTAACCGCGACGCGATTTTCTAGGGGTTTGACTTGGAGTTTATCGCGCCTACGGGATTTAATAGGGGTTTCACTCTCGCACATATGCAAGAATGTATGTTATATATAGAAGTGTAACCCACCCGAATTGTCACATATTAAAAGAAATCAAAGTATAGTTCGTACAGCACCTTACTTAGGTACTCCATCAGAGTGGCCAATATTGACCACATACCTCGTCGTATTTAGTCCTTCGGTGGGCCAGATTGGACCTACCTTTCGTTGTTCCCGGCCATACAATCTGGTCATTTTGACCAGAGATCAGGAAGGAAGAAAACTTCTTCCATAGTCGGTTATTGTCACCGACAAATATTTCGTACGGTTCGAATGTACGAGTGACGATCGCATCGCAAAATGCACGACCACGAGAAGTTAATTAAAAGAAAAATATTAATTCAAAAAGCTTTGCGGTATGTACGAATCAAATTTATTTTTACTTCCGTTAATTATTTAAACATATTGATCATCTCTTCGTAAAATGATCTTTGAATTCAAAAGTCGAATAGATATAGAAAAAAATTTACTTCGCGTTAGAGTGATTTTAATCATATTCCTCGATAAATCAAAATTTCTAATATGGATAAAATTAAGTAATTAATAATTAATTAAAAATTTTTCCTGAAAAACCGATCGCGAAAACCGACCGCGTAAACCGACCGCGAAGATGCGTGTAATTGTGCATGTCGTT